GGTGGCTTTACAGCAATGCAGGGATCTCACATGGCAGAAAATGGTGGAGCAGAGAGAGAGATTCTCACATGCTCTCCTCTTAAAGCACTTGGAACCACTCCCCAGACCACCATTATTAATCCATTTGCTACGGCATGGTCCTACAATCTAATCACCTCTTCAAGGCCCCACCTTTAAATTACCATAATAAAATTTCTCAACCTCTACACTGTCATAGTGGGGACTAAGTTTGGGAGTAACCCACAGCCATGCAAAAGTTTTTATTTCAATTAAGTCCAACTTGTCAATTTTTTCTTCCATGGATTGTGCTTTTGTTTTTGCATCTAAAAACTTTTTTTAGACCCAAAGTCACCTAGTGTTGTAGATTGGATGACCCCAACCTCATGGAAGCTTAAATCCCTACTGTAACTGCTGAGAGTGGGAAATCCTATTACAGTGATTGAAAGGTGATCCTTGAAGAAGTGATTAGATTGTAGGACTGTGCAATAGTGAATGGATTAATAATACTGTTCAGGGGCGTGGTTCTGAGGGCTTTAAAAGGAGAGTGAATGAGGAGGTTGGTCTCTCTGTTCCACCATCTTCTGCCATGTGAGACCCCTGTGTCACTGTCACCACCACCAAAGCCTTTACAAGCCATCTTCCCTGGACTTTGGACTACCTAGCCTCTGAAACTGTAAGCAATAAATTTCATTTTCTTCATGAATTACTCAGTTCCAGGCATTTTTAAAAAAGAAACAGAAACAGACTAATACACCTAGATTTTCTCCTATGTTGTTTTGTAAAAGTTTTATAGTTTTGCCTTTCAAATTTAGGTCTATTGTCCATTCTAAGTTAATTTTTGTTAAGGATGTAAGATCTATTTCTAGATTTATTTTTTACATGTGGAAGTCCAATTGTCACAGCACCACTGTTGAGAAGATAATCCTTTCTCCATGGAATGCCTTTGCCCCTTTGCCAGATATTCGTTGAATGTATTTGTGTGGATTAATTTCTGGGATTTTCATTCTGTTCCCTTGATCTATTTATCTATTCTTTTGCCAATACTACGCTCTCTTCATCACTATAGCATTATAGTAAGTTTTGAAGTTGAGTACTGCTAGGGACTGAATTGTGACCTTCCAAAGTTTTTATGTTGAAGCTTAACCCCCAGTGAGATGGCATTTGGAAATGGGGCCTTGGGAGATAATCAGGTCATGTGGGTAGTGCCCTCACATTGGGATCAGTGCCCTTAGGAGAATAGACAGAAGAGAGCTTTCTTCCTCTCTCTCTCTCTCCTCTGCCATGTGAGGATACAATGGGATGATGGCCATCTGCAAACCAGAAA